TAACATTAGCGAGATATTGAATGTAGCGGATGTTTGATTTATTTCCTTTTGAAGGTGAGCATTGATAGCAAATAGTCAAAATATGTTCCAATAAACCATCCAACACATAATCACATTACACATATATATAGTTTCAAACCAAAATAACAAACCATCCAATGCATAACTAGTAAACATAATTTCATCCCCAAACTAACATAGTTTCATACATTCAAATTTGTTCCACACTTCTTGCACTTGCATTTTTGCTCCTTGCCTTCTTCAAGAGGAAGTATATCAAAAGAATCCCCAAACATAAATGGGTCTCCTTTTTTGATTTTGCAGCTTCTTTTGGTTTAAAATGAAATATCAGTAACTTCCATCTAAAAGTTACAACAAAATAAAAAGTAATTAGATTATTCTCATAACTCCAAGAAACTTCAAAAATGTCAAAGTTCTAATCTTTTAACAAAACATGATTCTATAATCCTAATATGGTGGAAAAAGGGAAATAACGAATAGATATAACTGTGATAAAGAAAGTAAATCAGAACATTGCACGATTTAACTTTGAAAAATTATTTCAGAATAAACAAAGATTGCAAAACAATTTTTCTCACAACCACCATAATGATTTTTTGTTTGCCACCTCAATTATATATGCAACTATTTCTTTCACAGCATATATTCCCAAGGATGCATTTGCATATTGCATTGATTCTCAAATTCATTATGCATATATTCCTAAGGATGCATTTGCATATTGCATTAATTCTGAAATCCATTATTGACAATAACATATATAAAAATAAAATAAAAAAACCTCCATTACTCCATTTTATTGGTTTGTTACGGTGCATGATATTGCCAAAGGGGTGCTTTAGAATTTACCTTCTAGATAAAATAAATATATAGATAGTTTTAGAAAAGTTAAAATGGATAGAAATTTTGGAAGCTTACTTGAAATCAAGTATATCATACTTAGGCTCAATAATGGAGTAAAATATGCAAATGGTTCTATTGCTTTCAGATTGATTAAACAAAATTAAAGTGAGAAAATAACCTGTAAATCAGTTTCAATGTTGTTAAGATCTTCGCCAGAACCACCCAAAACCCAAAGCTGAGATAAGTTGAACTCATTGGGCTGCTGTATTTTGGATTTCCAAACATTTATGGTTGTTTTTGCTCCATAAAACTTATATTCTTCCACATAAGCTATTGCATGCTAATGTCCCCCAAAATTTCCCCAAAAGAAAAAAATTGCAATTAGTACAAACAATAATCGCCAAATCAAGAAAAATGTCAGATGTATAACTTTTATTCAACAACAAAGATGTGTTTTTATAGGGCATTTAGTGTTTTACCTTTCAGAGTAGTAGCAGCAGTAAAATATAGTCATGTCAACCTCTAAAAAAGAGAGTAGTTCAATACAGTCATATTGCTCTTTGTCATATGCAGATTACTAACAAAAGGGTCACCTCCAAGCATATGTTCTTTGTCAGTACAATCGTAATGCTTTATTTTGATGCTATTTTTGTTCATTTTCTTTAAATATAAAGACACTAACATGGATCTGAAAAACATCCATTCAATTTATACATGTTTCATGTCCAAACCATATATTATTCAAACTTTGATATCCAAGTTTTCCATTGTTTGGTCATGGCTACACAATATATATAGAAATGTTGTATTGGTCAATAACAGAGTTCTGTAGGCAATGAACTTGCAAAGAATGAAAAATAATTCCATATTCTGCTCATCACAAGTAAACTTTGACTTCATGTGGTAAAAATAATAAAATACTTTTGCTCAGGTGGTTTAAGTCTATTATCTGCACCACCCGATCCAGATTTTGACTGCAAAATTGCTTGGATCCATAAATTTTTCTGAGTTGCACCCAAGTTAACTTCCCCCTTGATATTCTATAAATTCCAAAGCTTAATGGCCCAAGTAAAACTAATCAAAAGACCAATTATAAAATGAAAATAAAGTTAAGTGCAAATTTAAGAGCAATTGATGGAAAAAACTTGTGTGCATATACAAAACTGAGAGCAAGAGAGTAATCATTTTTTTAAAAAAAAAAATTAGGTGCTTCAGTGCTCATTTGAAATTTGCTAGCTTACACAAGCACTATCAAAACACTTTAGAGTACTCATATATTCCTAATTCATTAATTTAATACACATTCCACGGAATTAATGCGAATAAGCAGGTTAATGATAGATAAAACACACTTAAACATCACTTTTACCAATGGAATAAATAAAAGGAAAAAAAAAAAAAAAAAAACGTGTGAGTAATTATATAGCTACAAAAACATTCATGTGAAAGAAAAAAAAAAATTTGATATAAAATGTTTTTAGATTCCGGATATTCATGTGAAGTAAAAGATCACTAATGCGGTATTTAAAGCCTCATAATAGAACAATTAGTTCACACATTCAGTAACTTTCTAATTCATCAGTAATCCAAAAAATAAGAAATAAATCAACTGTAATTATTCAACTAAAACACAAAAGTTATAAAGGTGATGGCTCCAAAAAAAAAAAGTAAATTATAATTTTTTTTTATAAAAAAAATCAACAATTTTGAACTAAATATTCCCAGATTACACCAATTTCATACCACCGTACATTAATGTACTCAATATTAAAAAGGGTATTTTAGGCAACACAAATATGAAACAATGAATTTTCATGTGCCAACTCAGCTTTTAGGTCAAATTCATTTTTTTGAAACTATCAAGCTTTAACTCAGTCATTGCGTAAATATGGGGCCTTATGCCCATTTTTATATAAAAATCCCTAAAGTATCTAGTTTATATACCTCATATTATCTCACACACACACGCGCGCACACATATATATATATATATAAATATTAGAACTCAAAAGTCAAAACGCCTCTCACTCCCTCTTCCTATTCCCTATCAAATTTTCACTTATTTAGAAAAAAAAATTCCCCATATAAGTTTCTTATTTTTATTTTTCTTTCTATTGATAGAGTTTCTGTTGACAATTGACATGATTGACTATTTCAATTTTCAATAAAACATTGTGTTTATATATATACATTATTGATGATTTTTTGTTTTTGTTTTAAGGCATGTAATTTTTCATTTATTTTTATCTATTTTTTTTTTTTTTTTATCAGTGTTTTTTTAAATCTATTTTCATTCTTTGAACCCCTTTGGTTTTTATTTTTTAATGCACCTCTTACTTTAATTTAATTGCGTACATCTAAAATAGAAGGAAAATGATTTTTGTACCAAATAGTTGCAATGAATTTCTAGACTTATTCTTTTAATTGGTCAATTATACAACAAATAAGGGAAGTGAAGTCCTCCACTTACTTGTATTTGGTATAAATAGCCCATTAAAAATTATTCGGTTACTTCACTGCAAGTGTTGTGTGTGAGTATCACTACTCAAAATAGAAAAAGTAGTAATAGTCACATCGAACACTTGCAATGAATTGTCTTACGGAATAATTTTAAATTGGTTATTTATACCAAATACAACTAAGTAGAACGCACTGAACACTTGCAGTGAATTGCCTAATTAAATAATTTATAAATGACCAATTAAAAGAGTAAGTCTAGCAATACATTTGTAATGAATTGTCTAACCGAATAATTTTTAATTAATTATTTATACCAAATCCAACTAAGTAGAGGGTTCCAATTTCTTATTTGTTATATAATTAACCAATTAAAATAGTAAGTCTAGTAATTCACACTAATCACTGTAATTATTTAGTGCAAGAATCATTTTTCAAATAGAAAAACACATACACATTTATGGGTTATAACTTATAACTTATAGACACTTTGATAAAGTGAGATTATGGCCAAGGATTAATTTTTTGCAATTCTAAATAATCCAAATACTTTGATAAAAATTGTGTTCGAGATTTTGAGTAAAGTCAACCAAGCATGCGGGGAGTTTTAGGCTTTCATTTTCACTCGTTTGATACGTTGGCAATAAAGGCAAATATGAAGAAATGTTAGAGCATTTAAAAAAATAAAATTAAAAAAAAAAACTCAAAAACTAAACCGTTTTTTGAAAAAAAAAAATACTACATATCATATAATTGTTGATTTAAGATAAGATTTCTTTAACCAAAATCAAGTGAAAGTATTTGCTTTTCTTAGGAAGAAAATTAGAAAAGAAAAGGAAGAAGAGAAATGAGAAAGAATTAAGAACTTCTACAAACAAACATACCCTAAAAGCAATGATTGGAGAAGGAAAATTGTAAAAGTCAGCCAAATAGTAGGAAGTAGACCTGTTAATGGAGCGAATCCTGATTCGGATCCGATCTGAATCCAATTCGATTAGTTGGATATGGATTGAACAAAAAATTTGAAAACCCGATTACAATCCGAATCCGATAATCCGTTAACTTAACAAATCGGATATGGATTATGCTGATCCGATCCGATTAAAATTTTATATATATATATATATATATATATATATATATAATTATTTATAAATAATTTTACATATATATATCAATACTCCTATTAGATCTGTATTAGAGGTAACAAAAAAATTCAATATATATAGTGTTATATATATAATAGTGAGGTGTTCTCATTCACATGTTATATATAGTGTTATATATATAATAGTGAGGTGTTCTCATTCACATGTTAATAAATCTCTTAATATATATACTAGTGGTGTTTTTATCAATGTTATATATATTAATTATATATTACTAAATTTATATTAATTATTTATCATTATATTTATTTAATTATATAGTTATATTACATAGCATTGTGTATATTAGCAATTCTCAATTTGCAATTCTCAATTTCTTAATTATATATGTCTATAAATATGATTTTAATCCAAATTAGAATCCTATTAATCCCGATTTGAGCTAAATAGAATATGAATTAGAACAGTACGCGAATCCGTTACAAATTTCATAATTTATTTGCTCAACATCATTCGATAATTCGATAATATGATTCCATCGATCCGATCCGAATCCAGTAGGAAGAGAGAGAATCAAAATTCTTATTACGTTGAAAAAGTAAAACTCACAACCTTCCTCTGCATTCATTGTAAAGAAAGCAATACATATATATACCTACACGTTAGGTGTAAGCAATATTGACAGTTTATGCAATGAATGACTGTGATCCTCTGAATCTCATATACTGAAGAATCTACAAAGCAGTTGGGTTCATTGCAATGAGTGGTAGCGAAGGGAGCTCTGGGCATTCGGCCGGCGCCGGAGATTCGTCGGCGTCGGCGGACAAGAAGAAGGAGAAGGCTAGGGTGAGCAGGACGTCTCTGATACTGTGGCATTCTCATCAAAACGACGCCGCCGCAGTGCAGAAGCTGTTGGAGGAGGACCGCTCTCTGGTCCACGCTAGGGATTACGATAGTCGGACTCCGCTTCATGTGGCTTCGCTGCACGGTTGGAACGAGGTCGCGCAGTGCTTGATCGAGTTCGGAGCCGATGTCAACGCCCTAGATCGGTGGAAGAACACGGTAATGTATAATCAATAATCAATTTCTGTAACACTTTCTATCTCGGAGCCAATTTTGATTTATTGTTCTTCATTAGAGATGGTTTTGATTGTTAATTCTGAGATACTTTTGATTAATGTAGAATTTCTGGTGTTGTATCCTCCTGAAATTATTATGGAATTGAATTGAATTGAATTGAGATTCTCATTCATTATCTGTCTATTCACATTTAATGCTATTGGTTGTGCTTAGTGTTATAGAATTGTTGTAAATTGGCTCATGAATAAATGTAATACTGGATATGAAGTGAACACTCTGATGTCTGGTTCAAGAACCACTGCTTCTTGTTTTTCTTGGCTCGAGTAGAAGGCAGAAGCCGAACCAAGAATTGCGTGGCAACTATGCAAATTCAGGTAAAAGAGAAGTAAGGAATATAATTAAAAAGAGTTTGTAATTTGGAAGAAGTGTTTCCATCTGATCATCACAAAAATGGTGCCAAGCTTCTCTTTGATTGTGGACACCTTATAAGCTTACGTCACAGTATATTTTCAGCTGGACAGCTTAAAATGATATATATATATATATATATATATATATATTGTTGTTTTTTCTTTTGCATCATCTTGATAGTTTGCATGATACATTTGCTTTAGAGAGAGCTTTCACAAGTGATAAATTTCTGAATATTAGTGTTGAATCCGTTAGGACGCATGCATGCTTGGAGAAGTTAGTCTTGCTTGTTAGTTATCTTTGTCATGTGCCTTTGTTGCCATTTTACTGCTATGTTATATGAATAATGTTTCAAAAAATGGCAAAGCTAAATCTGTGGATGCAATGCTTAATCTTTTTTCTTTTTTCATCTGTTATCCTTCATCACATATATATTTTTTCTATGTGCCTGCTCTTTGTTCATTATACAGTCTTTATCTGGCTTGGTCAACTGAATTACACTCAGCTAGGTTGTTATCTAAACTTGGAAACTTCTTATGACAGCCTTTAGCTGATGCAGAAGGAGCTAAAAAGTATAGTGTTATCGAGTTGTTGAAGTCTTATGGCGGCCTTTCTTATGTAAGTTTGATGTTTACCAGCTATTTGTCTTATATTTTTCTTTTTTCTTTCTTCCCCCTATTTCTTTCTTTGCAATATTGAAGTTTAGTTAATTTGGTTTCATACTTCGCAATGTCTATTGCTTGCAATATATTACTTGGAACTTGGTTTCCTCATTATTTTTTCAACCAGTCAATTTGATCATTATGTATCATCGCAGTGGTTTCTTTTATCAGACAGACTGATAATCAATCCCTCTCAATGGCTAGGTCATAGTTCAACTGGGTCAATTCTGAGTCAAACCAGCTGATGAATCCTGCTTCTAAAAATTTATATTATTGAAAATTACAATACATGTTTCAAAGCATGATGCAGGCTGAGGGTTCAGCTATCTCCACCCTCATACATCTTTATTTTATCTTATTTTTTATTTTATTAAAAATAATTCTATTAACTGGAGGTTCGGTCTGATATGTGGTAGGGTCACCTTTGATAACAACCAAAGTCACACAATTCTTCTAAACGGGTGCCACTCTCACGCTCCACGCACTCCCACTCTCACGCTCCGGGCACGCTTCCTCTCTTGCTACCACTCTGTGTGACTTAGATTTTACCGCTTTTGTGCTCCTGCTCTATGTGACTTAGATAACAACAGTTATATATGTCTCTTTTCTGTGCTGAACTTTGAAATATTAGTTTGAAGTCGTAGTTACGCATATTTCTCCATTTGTGGTTGACTCTTTGTCTAGTTGACAACTCCTATGTTGCCATTAGTTGATCTTTTAAGTTAACATAATCCAAAATACCATATGAGTGGTGCTTCACTTTCGAATCTGCAATTTTATGTTCATTTTATGTACAAGATAAGATAAGATAAAGATAACTATATGCACTAAAATTATTTACTTTTTCTTTTTCTGGATAACTCGGTTTTAAGATCTTGATTTATGTTTTGTCCCATTATCTAATCCTGTAAGCTTTTGGGGCAAGTAGTTGTCCACTATAGTACCAGAGCTTTGATCTTAGGATATATGGTCCACATTTTGTTCGGTGTGCCTCTCCACGTGTGACTGTGTGAAAGGGTTCACGTCTTTCAATCTGTCTACTTGCATACTGTCTGACTGTCTATCTACCTCTGTAATAAGTTAAGCTTTTGAGGTAAGTGTGTCTAACACTTTTGACGCAAAAAAAAAAAAAAAAATTGAAATTAGGTTATCCCTTGGAAGTTGGCCACAAGACCTAAATTCATGCATAAGTTAATCAAACTTCTATCACTGACATGATCACTCATTTTGCATGCATATGAGGGTGCATGCATACCATTTCTTACCAATCCATTGTTCTTTTTTGGTTTTTAGATGTTGATGCTAGATACACTGAGTTAAATCATGCAGATGTCAATGTGCCTTCTAGAATTTTTTGCTTCTGTGTACTATGAGTATTGGTGCTTATGCTGCAGGGCCAAAGTGGAAGTCATTATGAACCAAAGCCTGTTCTGCCCCCTGTACCAAACAAGTGTGACTGGGAGATTGATCCTTCCGAGCTGGATTTTTCAAACCAAAGTACTATTGGAAAGGTGTTATTTTGCTTGCCTAAAAATCACTGATAAAATGATCAAGTTTTTCGCTGATAAGCTAATTGAATTTTGAATTTGGAACCCATGACATGTGTTTATGCTACCTTTCTGTCAATTACACAAATTGGAGAAGGAAGAAAAACAAAGACAAAGTTAAACGATCAAGCCACTAGTCAGCCATCTAAGAAATATCAAAAGAACTAAAAGTAATGAACACCCTCTCTAAAAGTCAGTAGCATGTGGAATTGATGCAGTCCAGGTGGCTAGGAATTGGCGTGTCTGCTATAAAAAATGATGCAGTAGAAATAAAGTGTCTTGGCACTTAAAGAAGACCGATATTTGCTAGATTTCTACCTTAATCAGGATTATATCAATCCAGCCGAGCCTTGCATGATTGCGAAAGGAAAAATAATCACCTAAAAAACACACAAGAACATAAGCAGGAAAATGCCTTTCAATATTTACTGGAAAAAATGCTTTTCAAAATGAAAAATTAAACCGAATAAACAAACCAAAGAAAAGTGATCAGTAGATATTAATGGGATGACATCAGTGAATGTAATTTTTGGTTATTTTTCTTTCATGTTGTTTAGTCAGCTTTGTATTTTGGTTTGAGTAGCATTATTGATGTAAGAAATAACAAATTCAAAACTCCCCTTTACTTATCTATTCTTAAAGTAAATATAGTTATTACAATGAGAGATCTGCCAAATCTATACATTGCTTGATTCCCAGCAATAGAAACTGCTTTGTCTCCAAGCAAAGGATATAGCTTAATCCTAAAAAATATATAATTAAATCATAAATAATTCTGTAGGGATTACAATCCTCTAAACTTATTAAGTGAAAACTCAGTAAGGACACGGTTGACTATTATCTTCATGAGATGATCTATTAAGTTGACTGGCCTTTGATGTTATCTTATGTCAAACAAATTGCAACTCTAGTTTTTCTAAATACTGTTTGTTATTTGGCAGTCATACTGCAAGATCTACTGTTACTGATGATAGCTGATGCTGATAGGGGTCTTTTGGTGAGATTTTAAGAGCATGTTGGCGTGGAACACCTGTAGCTGTCAAACGGATTCTTCCAACTCTTTCAAATGATAAATTGGTGATGTAAAATCCATTTCTATTCCACATTTTCTTATAAAAAGTTGATTATGAAATTTTGATTTACTCAATTGTTAAGCTACAACTGTGTAAATCATGGTTCTGGATTATAATTTGTTCTTTTCATCTGAATTAATTACTAAATCTTTTTTATCCACTGATCTCTGGTGATTGTATGTGGGAGTAGAACAAAATCTAAAGCATGAGAGGTCGCTTTCTAATTATTTAAAAATTGCCTTGGACGCTTTCATTTATGCACAATGCATTGTTTCAGAAGAGATGATAGGATTCCAATTGAATTTTGGAATTATCATCTAGTATATATCAAGTAAATTTGGTCCCATGGACAATATAATGATTTAAAGAGGTTGTCCATGCTATAAGTTCAGTTTGCTTTTCTATTTCTAATGAAATTCCTTAAGAAGAAAAAGAGAGAGAGAGAGAGAGAAGAGTGTACTTATGTATTGCTTCTCTGTTTCAGTCAGGACTTCAGGCATGAGGTGAATTTGCTGGTGAAGCTCCGCCACCCTAATATTGTCCAATTCCTTGGAGCTGTCACTGAGAGGAATCCCTTAATGTTAATCACGGAGTATTTACGGGGGGTAAAGGATTGCATAATTTGTGTTTTACGTTTCTGGGTGGTTAACTTTTTTTTGTCATAGAAGGAAGTTACCTTGCTAAATGGTAGCATTTCACTTACATATTACAGGGTGATCTTCATAAGCATCTCAAGGAAAAGGGTGCACTTAATCCGTCGACGGCTATCAACTTTGCATTAGACATTGCCAGGTACTTAAAAATTCAAAGTAGTCTCTCTAATGCTTTCAATAGAATATGCCAAACCCTCCTACCTGCTAATTCTAGTCAGTTATTTGTTTTATATATATATATTTATAGAGTTATAACATTGTTTCATGACTAGGAAGATTGTATTTAAGCTACTCCTAGATACTATGAAAAACTATTTTAAGGGTAGTGTAATCATTCAGTTACTAAAAGGTCGTTTCATCTTAATCTTTTTGTAGTCCTCAAGTTTTATACCTCGAGAATCTGGTGCTTTGAACCAATTTAGGCTGGAATCAGTTTAGTTGTGAATCAAGAAATGACCAATTTAGCATGACTCGTGTTGTTATTTCTCCTGTATTGTAGCATTTAAAGCTTTTGCAGTTTAATTTTTGTTTGGATGTTCAAATTGTTGGATGAGCATTGAGCTTAGTTCTAAAAAATGGTTAAATATCATATATCCATTTGCTTTGACACAATGAAAAATATTTTTTGTGTTCAATCTTTTACATGAAGACGGATAATTGCTTACTTACGATACCAAATCCCAGTCAGGGGTGCAACAATGGGTGGAGAGAAGTATGAGAGAGATGGATAAATAAAAGGATTATTTATGTCATTCTTGGAAAATAGAAAGTAGATGCAGGAAATCTTTTCAGATTCTTCCACTAATCTCCCATTTCTGCAGATTAGTGAAACTTTCCAATTTTTATCGGTGAAGAACAACTTTCTTTATCTTTTGATTTAATCACCCTAGAATTTGAGGAGGCTATATGTCCCAATATCTCACAATGCTGTTCAATTTCACCGGAAAATTAAACATGAGAAAAGCTTTAGTCTAGAACTATTTTCTGATTTTTTGATTTTCTGAGTTGCCAAATGCAGCCTTATTGAATTGAATTCCATGCTAACCCGAGTTTGTAAATCCCATGTGGCCAGAGGCATGACATATCTTCACAACGAGCCAAATGTCATAATTCACCGAGACCTAAAGCCAAGGTAAGTTGATTATTGTGTTGGATCTGACTGGACATATTAGCATGTTACTTTAATAACTACTACTGCAGCATGTTGACTTGAGCCTGCTGAAATTACACACACTCTCTCTCTCTCTGTCCATCCCCCCTTGCTTTCTTTCTCCTGTGGGAAGGGTAGTTGTTCTATGTTCCCGAGCTGAATGTGGTGATTTTTTCAGGAATGTTCTTCTTGTCAACTCCAGCGCAGACCACTTAAAAGTTGGAGACTTTGGACTAAGCAAGCTCATCAAGGTTCAAAATTCTCATGATGTGTACAAAATGACTGGCGAGACTGGAAGTTGTTAGTATATCCATTCGATTTTTTATTTTTGAAATATAAAAGAACTTATTATGAAGTTCTTATTTCTTCTTTTCATTTCCTATAATAAACAAAAGATCGCTATATGGCTCCTGAGGTTTTCAAGCACCGGAAATATGATAAGAAGGTCGACGTTTTCTCTTTTGCAATGATACTGTATGAGGTAATTTTTGTTTCCATATGAATGATTAAAGAAGCAAAGGAATTCAAACAAAGATCTGGTTGATTATGTTCTCAACTTATGCAGATGCTTGAAGGTGATCCACCATTGTCGAACTATGAACCTTATGAAGCGGCCAAATATGTAGCAGAAGGACACAGGCCATCCTTTCGGGCAAAAGGTTACATTCCTGAATTGAGGGAGTAAGTTAATTCTGGATTCTTTGTCTACCAACCATTTTAAGTTTGCACTATCATACCATATGCGTGGCCCCGTAACCGACTCCAATAAAGTTTAATTGGCAAATAATATTTGCACTCGACACATGCGGAGGGTAGAGGTTCTATTACTGGTTGCACTTAATCGCCTTGAGTATACTATTTAGCTTAGGAGCCGATGAGGGTAAACTAATGAAAAGGGAAGTTGATGAGCACACTAACTGAATTACATCTCAGTGACTTCGGTATATTATATAATTTAGGAACTGATGAGTATAAATTTACGGAAGGAAAGTTGAGCTCGAACTCAACCACATCTCAGTTCCCAATATTGCAATATCCAAATTCTGCCTCTCCCACTACTAGTCCCCTAAAAAATTAACTGAATGGAGAAGCAGATTAACTTAAAATTTCAGAAACTGTTGTCTCAATTGTCCATTTAATGATGCAGTCTGCTAGAATATAGTCTTGTATGTTTATCTGAATGCAAAAAAGATCATTTTTCATTTTCAAGAGACACTGGACACACACACACACATAGGGGAGGGGGAGAGACAAATTTGGCTGAGCAGTTCTTGAAACACCTTGTTTAACACTAACTGCCTCTCTCTTATGGAACCAAGTCGATTTTAGCACACCATTTATTAGTGTTTGCCCTAAGACTTGCTCTAATGGTTTTCAGAGTATGACTCCTAGGTCTGTAAGCACAATATTTAATGGTAATGCAACTTTAATCACCACCCGTACTCCCATCCACATGATCAAAAAAGTACCACATGGATACCCCAGAAACTTGAACTGGGATGCCAGTGTAAACTTCAAACTTTAGGTGCCACTACAAATATTACGTTACTCGAAAAATATAGATGCCTGAATTTTGGGATGCTAATTTATATTATATTGACCATTCAGATTAACAGAGCAGTGCTGGGACGCGGACATGAACAAAAGACCTTCTTTCTTGGAGATTCTTAGGAAGCTTGAAAAGATCAAGGAAATTTTGCCATCAGATCACTCTTGGAACATCTTTACTGCATGACAAATCGAACACGAACACAACCAGATTGGGATGGTATATTTTTTCGTTCTGTTTCCCCCTGTACCCCTTACCTGATTGTGCAGATGGGATCATGAGTAGACTCAACTGGGCGAGTTTTACTAGAGTTACTCCTATAACTGGTATTTCACTTCCACATTCTGATTCTTAAACCGAACTTGAGAGGTGATGTTCACTTGTTCTCCTGTTTCTGCACTCCAATTCTCACGGAGTCTCTTCCAATTCAACAATTTAAACCATTCATCCTTTGACCAAGTTTCGTCTCTCCTTTCTCCATCATTTAAATTTTTGGTGGTTCCAAGTTAAAACTAATAAACCTGTAAATGCAATGTTCTCCTCTATTGAACTCATTCGCCACGTGAACAGTGATACTATCTTATCTGCTTAAGTCTTAACCAGTTAGACAGCGTTTTGGCTCGTATTATCTTTTATGTAAATACCAAGTGTTGAGCTTGCAGTATGTTAACCGTTCAGGAATTCCAGATTTCTATGGCATGTTGTGCTGTTTTCTAATTGTTACAAGTTTTACTGCATCTGAATGTGAAATTCTTTCAAATAACATTGCATTAGTCAAAACTTTAGGTATTCCATTTTCTTTTTCCCTTTCCTTCTTTTTGTTTTTTTTTTTTGTTTTTTTTCCTTGTATAATAGGGTTTGCTTTCTCATAACAAAATGAAAGGCAATGACAAGCTAAACACGGATTGGCCCTTGCTGGTTACAAAGAGCCCCAAAACTTTGATGAAGGTAGGATTTTATTTCAAGTATTTAGTGAGAACACTTTGAATTTTGTGTTAACCGTTGCTTTTTCCTTGACTGAACTCATAGAAGTCAGACAAGGGTGGCAATATTTGACACAACACACTAATACAATCCGAACACGACACGAAATATGTGGGTTTGGATTTGGCTTAAACGTGGTCTGTTTAGCTAAAGGTGTTGAATAAGCGTGTCATATTTGTGTTAAAAATGACTTAAATGTGTCTTGTCGTTTTAAGTCATGATCTATTTATTAAATGGGTTGCGCATTACCTGTGTAATAATCGTGTCCTGTTTGTGTCATACTTGATACTCTGAAACGACACATATTTGTGTCATACTCAATACTCTGAAACAACACAAACACGACCAGCCAATACAAATTGCCATCCCTAATAAAATTCGTTAAACTTGGGAAGGGTTATTTCTCAAAATAGGTTTTTGTCTCCTCTATTTATTATTAAAACCAAGTACATTTTGATCTTTAAGGTCATGGACGGTAGGGTGGGTTTGAAGGGGAAGGATAACATCAATTATGAAGGAAAGGAAAGGGAAGGGAAGGATAAATTTAATTTGGTATTGTGTTTGATTGATGAATGAAGGAAAAGAAATGGAAGGATAATAATCATATTTGGGGAAAGAAATGGATGGATAGGAAGGAGAATTATTTTAATAAATTTACTATTATGCCCTTTTATATTTTAAAATATAAAATTATATATATATATATATATATATATTTGTCTCGTAGGAAAAAAATTTTTAGTGCAAATCATTTCAGCCTCCATTTTTTTTAGGGCAAATCAACTCTCTCTTCTCGTTCTAAACTCCACCTCTCAATTCTCGTTCTCAACACCAAACTTCTCTCTCTCTCTCTCTCTCTCTCTCTCTCTTTGCAACTACAAACTACTACAAGAATCAAAAGTTCAAAACCCATATATTTCAGTTTATATATTTGTCTGCAAGAATCAAAACTTCAAAACCCATATCGGCATCATTTCAGATTGTTCAAAAATCAAAACCCAATTTCAGATTGTTCAAAAAATCAAAACCCATATCAGTTTCCATCGCCCGCTGTTCCAATTCGGGTTCGGCGTTCGCCGTTCGCAAGCAAGCTTCGTCATTCTCAACTCTCAAGCTTGCCCTCCTCTCTCTGTGCAACTGCTAAATCAATTAATCAAGGGCAAGATTGGCATATGAAATCACACACCAAGCCTCTTCTTCCCTTTCCCTTCATTTCCTCCCATTTTTGGGAGGTTAAGAAATTTACTGTTGAAGGCACAAGTTAACCCTCCAAACCCTTCCCTTCCCTTCCCTTTCCTTCCAACAATTTTAACCAAACACAAATTTTTAATCCCCCTCCATCACCTTCCCTTCCCTTTCCTTCAATTTTCACTTTACCAAACTGACCCTAAAGTACTGTCTCTAGGGCCACCGTCAGGGCTAAAAAAATCCTAGAAATGTGAGATTGTCTGCTTTGTTCTGGTGGCCCTCTGGCACCAACTAAAATAATATATATATATATTGAAAATTACAGTCTCTAAACAGAAGTGAGGCTAGAAATGGATTTTCAACCATGTATAAAAAGCCTTGTCCAACTAGGGAGGAAAGGGAAGGGAAAGTGATGGAGGGGGATTAAAAAGGTGTGTTTGGCATAAATGGTAAGAAGGAAAGGGAAGGTGATGGATGGTTTTGGAAGGATAACTCAAGGCATGAATAGTGCTTTTCTTAACCTCCCAAAAATTAGAGAAAATGGAAGGAAAGGGATGGCTAGGGTTGATGTATTAGCTCTAATGCCAAAGTTACCCTTACACAAATTCAAGATTACACTTGATTTTAGGATTTAGTTTGCAAAACAAGAATTACAGACCCTGATTAGTTGATTTAGAAACAAAATTAAGACAAAACCCATACATATATACAAGTTAGAAGTTGCAGCTAGAGAGGGGGGCAAGCTTGGAGAGTTGAGAGACAACGGCGAACCCGAACTGGAAGAGCAGGCAATGGAAACCAAAAGATATGGGTTTTGATTTTTTGAACAATCTGAAATGATATTTTGATTTTTTGAACAATCTGAAATGATATACTGATATGGGTTTTGATTTTGTAGTTTCCAGTTGGGGGGGGGGGGGGGGGGGGGGCGGGATTTACAGATGGAGGCGGAGGCTGAATTGAGAGGGCAAGTGTAGAGTTGAGAAGGAGATTTACAGATGGAGGTGGCAGCTGATTGATTTGTAGAGGCTGAACTTTTTTTTTCTTTTCTTGTGGGCCAATTCCCACAAGAAAATTTATTCAAACAATTCCCTCTCTTTTCTTTCCCTTCTTTTCCCAAGCGTGATTATTGTCCTTTCCTTTCTTTTCTCTCATTAACCAACCAAACACAATACCAAATTAAAATTATCATTCCCTTCCCTTTCCCCCCATAACTAAAGTTATCATTCCCCTTCAAACCCACCCTACCAAGCATAGCCTGAGAATTGCCTGAGAGTTAGGTGTAAAACCGGTGAAGGAAACTCGGTGGGCGAAATTCAGATTGTTCTGTCCAGAAACGACTAAATCTAACATTAACCATTTAAAAGACAGAATCACTTCCAACTATTTGAAATATCATGTGCTGTTAAGGCACTAGTGCATCTTTTTTAGCAAGAAAACCTATCCATCTTGAGCTCCAAGTTAATTCTAATGGATATGGTTGTAACAAAGAACTGACAACATTATCAGAATTACTTTTCGAGCCAGAGGTTATTGATGAAAACTGACAAAAATTGTACAAGAGTACAAATAATGAAAATTATAATACGATGAAATTATATGATCTTCTTCTTTTCGAAGAAGGCCTTCAAATGCCATAATTGTAAACCTCCCACTGATAAGCAAATGACAAGTGAAAGAAAAGTCAACCAAGCCATTCTGGAGTTCGTTGCTCTATTGAGTTCCTGCATTTCTTCTTCCCTGCAACAAGCATTAAAAGTATGCATAAACCTTCTTGTGATAAACTAACAGTGCTCCTCAGATATATATATATATATATATATATCATAAACTGTTCAAGAGAATTTAAGTTCACTTGCCTTTCACGGAGATAAAACATCTCCTCATGAATGGATGTAACCATTTCTTCCATTTTATTTAGCTCCAATTGCATGGCCTGACAACCAAAATATGACAAACCATTGTACTTCTGGATCAGTAAATCTGTCATTTTCAAACATCTAATTTGTGTACAACACTACAACAATCAAATACCTGAAGAAGTATCGAGGAATATTATTTGTTTAACTTTACAAATAAAACAGATTCCTATGCAACTTATAAGAGTGATTTAAGACATGTTAAATAACACAAAGACTAGATTTTTACTATATGTAGAGAGTTTAGTGGTCTCCCTATAAAAGGTAGGAATGCACCAAAGACTGAGGTTAAGCCATATATTTATTCAAAAAAAAAAAAAAAATTACTAGATGAAATAAGGAAAAATTTATAAGGAGATATTCCATGGTGTCTGTTCATTGCTGATGACATAGTGTAATTGAATAGTTATAAGGAAGCTCAATTAGAATCATGGAAAAAAAAATTATTAGAGTAAGAAAGATATAATTTAGTACAACAAAATATATATACCACATATTATATATGGAATCTAAATTTAATAGTGTCTCACAATTTGATAATATAATGATGATAACAATTCAAAACCAAATAATTAAAATTTCAAATTTTAGATAAGGATACAGGTGAATTAGTGAATTACTGGATGATTCAAAAATCAAATTAAGTTAACAAAGAGCCAAGATTCATACAATGATATCCCACGTGTACATCAGGACCATCAGTAAATTTAACTTAGAAAAATGCTGTTTAGAACAAAAGAGAGTGGATTATGTGGAGTATAATATCCACTTCTATTTGATTCTTAACCGATGAATGCCATAAATTTTCTCCATAGTTCAAAATTTTTAAGACAAATACATCTCCTTCCGAAATTTAGATAATGATATAGGTGAAATAGTGAATTATTGGATGATTCAAAAATCAAATGAAGTTAACACAAAGAGCCAAGATTCATACAATGATATCCCACATGTAAATCGGGACCATCACTAAATTTAACTTAGAAAAATGCTGTTTTGAAATCAAAGAGAAAGTGGATAGCGTGGAGTATAATATCCACTTCTATTTGATTCTAAACCGATGAATGCCATAAATTTTCTCCACGGTTCAATTTTTTTTAAGACAAATACATCTCCCTTCAAAACAGTAGGAGACAAATATAGCAGTCTTAAGGGCAGATCTTTTTCAAGTATGGAATTGAATCTCCTTTCATATTTGACTTGTGATACACAACCATCAGATAAATTCCATCAGTATGAATTCAAAGAGGACAGTTGACATCTAGAGGATTACATGTGACGACAACAACAACCAAGCCTTTCTCCCAACTACTTGGAGTTGGCTACTTGAATACTATGTTTTCATTCCGCTCTATTTAAGGCCATAGACTTAGTCAATTCACATGGTATCATTATATCATATCCTTCCTTATTAACTCTACCCATTTGGTCTTCCTCTTCCCCTAGCATTACCCTCAATATGTACTACATCACTTTTCTTAACAGACACACTTAATGGTCTTCTTTGCACATGTCCAAACCATCTTAATTAATTTTCTCATTTTATTTCCAATTTGTAATCCATCCATCTCCTGAATGTGATCATTTGTAATTCTAATATTCTATCCTTTCTAGTCTTACCATGCATCCATCTCAACATCCGCATTTCCGTCACACTCACTTTATGTATATGTTGTTTCCTAGCTACCCAACATTCTGTTGCCATAAAGTATGGTTGGTCTAATAGTTGTTCGATAGAACTCCTTTTCAGTCACACAATATACTAGATGCACCCTCCATTTAACCAATCCTGCCAGGCTGCCCCTGATCCTATGATTATCGCTATCTCCAATTTCTCTTTCATTATGAAATAATTAGGTTGAATAGCGAAAATGTTCATTTCTTGTACCTTTATATTCCCCACTACATCCTCATTTGTATTTCTAAATTTACTAAAGTTACATTCCATATATTCAGTTTTATTTCTACTTATCTTAAACCCTTTTAGTTCTAGAGCTTCTCTCCAAACCTCCAATTTGCTATTAACTCCTTTAGTCTCACCAACAAAAACAATATCACCGGCAAAAAGGTATGGGCTTAATACTGACCTTGATGTAAGCCTACAATAATTGGGAATTCACTTGTTTCTCCTACAAGTGTTCTAACTAAAGTCAAACAACCATTGTAAGTGTCCTTTATTGTGTCAATGTATCCCTTTGTAACTCTCTCTCTTTCTTTTCTTTTTCTTTTTTCTTTCTAAAATCCTCCATATTAGATATCTAGGTACCCTGTCGTAGACTTTGACCAAAGTTCCAAACCAAAAAAAACATCACATGTGAGCAGGAAAAACTGATTATTATGGGCCAAAAGCATGATATTAGCTTGTCTAGTTGAGGAAAAACAATTACATAGAGTAATCCAAGAGTGCACAAATGAGATAAATACGCTTCAGATATTACAACTATGGCTAGAAAGGACTCCATACAATGTCTCTAACTAAAGCAGTTAAGTGGTCATAGGAGTATTTTTGGTGAAAAAGGAAATTGAAATTTAAAATCGAAAGACATATGGCAGGTGTTAACAAATTAGCATTGGGAGTTTCCTTAAAACTTTGTGCAGGGCATCCCCAGCCCCAGGTTCCTAATACGTTCAGCATAGTGGAGGAAAGAATAGTTAAGTGAAGAGCGAAAGAAAAGATGAACAATTTTCGGAATCCAAACCTTGCATGGTCTCTAAGTAATTGGGTAAATAAATAATCATAAAAAAAAAAAAGAAGGACAAAGCCAAGGTGCTCTCTTGGAAGTTCTTGTTTGACTTTTGCTGGAAACTTGGAGGACCTCTAAGTGATTGGGTAAATTAAAAAAACAGGACAAACAAAAAAAACAGGACAAAGCAAAGGTGCTCTCTTGGAAGTTCTTGTTTAACTTTTCCAACTATGTCTGACATCTAATTTTAACCAAATCTTTGTATTGTCTGTAAGCTTGAGACAAGGGAAAATATTTATGCCTTCTCCCTCCTTCCCTCTCTCTCTCATATCATTTGGATTCTTTATTCTCCCTCAACAGGAGTAAACTGCAAGTGACTTTTGAATGATGGTGTATACTTTTTGTACATAATGTTCAATTGCCTACTTTATAATTAAAAACAAAAACAAAAAAGAAGGGACTTCATTTTTTCCACCCTATTCTGAAAACCCAATATTCGTTTTCTACCAAACCCCACATAACAAATCCATAATGCAACCCACAACAAAAAAACAAACTTTAAAACCCTTTTGCACCAGCAGCATTCAAGTATACATCAGCAAGCACAATGTCATCAAAGTATACAATCTGTCAATCTCACATAGCACCACACACACACACAGAAAAGGCTTACCTCAACGGAACCCTTCTTGGCAACATTGGACCAGTCCTTGGCAGCCATACCACTCCTCCAATCAAATTCAACGGTGATCTTCGCCTGAAGATTGTGATTCCCAGCCCAAAAGCAAGCCGAGTAGTCCCCAGCCTCCACCGCCTGAAATGCAAACTGTCCCGACTCCACATCGTCCGCTGCGTGATGAATATTCCCATCAGTCGAAGATACCTACACAAATATATATATATATAAGACACCCTTTTGGTTACTGAGAAAATGTGACAAAATAAAGCTAGGTTTTTTCTGCTCATGTTCGAAATAGATTACCCTGACGGTGACTTTGTGATCGTCGGGCATGGGATGGTCTTCACTGGGATTGACAACGCTGTATTTTCCGACGGTCATGGAATTGGTTTTGATGTCTTCGTAGATGCATTTGGTGTGACCCAATTCGAGGTCGAATCGGAGTGACTGGGCAACGATCGATAGAAACCCTAGGATCAGAAGAAGAAAAAGAATAGAGACTGTGGTGTGTGTTCTTTGGATCATTGTGTGTTCGGCGAATATACTATTAGGGTTTGAGAAAGCTATATTTTGGCGGAGGAGATCTAGACACTCCGTTCTTCTCGAGAGATCTGTGATCTGAGAATCAGACACCGGAGTCGTAGGGAGGCCGAGGTCTCACCAGACTCACCTGCGGGTCATGGTTGCCGTGTTTTATTCGAAGGCCCAAACTCAAGCTGAGTCCTAAGCCCAAAAGTCAAAGGCCCAGTCTTGTTTTATCATGAGCCCGGATCCTCTATTGTAATTTTCGGTGTTGCAGAGCTTCTCAACGCTTTTAAATTTATTTATTTAAGTGAGATTTAATGTGTTGTTAAATCTAACCGAAATAAATAAATATAAATATGCTAAAAAATAAATATAAATGTGTTTAAATATTACATCATCACTACAGTAGCAATTTACATCATATGAAATCTTGATTCAGCACATTACTTCTTGGTCGTGAATATCATGAATTATATTGAAAAGATATTTTAATAGGACAAATTTTAGGAAAGGTAGATGTAAGTTTAGTCTGTTTAAAATGAAAAATTATATTATTGACGACTTTAATACCCGACTTAAGATCGACATATATAAAAATATGAGGTAATTATTCTAAAATTTCAACTTAAATATGTATTATTGCTACTTTTATTTATTTTTATAAAATACGTCTTTTTCCTTGTCTTTTTATTTTTTAAAGCCTCTTTCTTTATTTTTTTAGTTTTTCATAACGGTATCATTTTCTTTTCCGTTTTCATGGCAAGTTTTCTTTTTATCTTTTTAGTTTTTTTTTTTTTTTTTTTTTTTTTTTTTTTTTTTTTTTAAAACCAAAACAACCAGCACCACCACAACATCAGCATAGAAGCAACGAAGCAAATCAAAGAGCACCCCCTCCCAACGAGGCCGGCAAGCCATTGAAGATCTGGTCTTCATAATCCACAGAGAGCTTCGCTGCACGATGAGCAACAGTATCCTAAATGGTCACACAGGAAGGCCACAGCTTCCCACTAACTCATCAGCTGAAGCACACGGGAAGGAAGGGGATTCAATATAATAATTTGATTTATACAAAATCTAAAACAAAAAAAAAAAAAAAATTCCATGCTTTGTAATTTTTTTTTTTTTTTTAAAAAAATTATCTTCTTGTTTTTTTGTTTTTTGGGTGTCATATAAATCATTAGCTTTAATTATTATAACAATTAACAAATGTCTATCAAAGTAATAAATAAATATTAACAATCAAATGTACAATCTTTTATACATAAAAGATGCAATATGAAGTATCTCAAAAGTCTTTACAGAGATGTATGTATAAAGAGTCCTACTATTTGACCAGACATATAAAAACTTATACTTCACGTAGTCTATGTGACTACCCATGTATCAAATATAATGGAACCCATTTTAAAATATAAAGTAATTGATTATTTGGAAAGTTATAATCCATTTTTTAGGTTTATCTCAATCTATTATATGTCTATTTGTTTTATATTTCAAATTGCATATCTCTGAGAACTATTGAGATACTTTAAATTGTGTTTTTGATTATTACTATCCATTTATTACTTTGATAGGCATTTGTTAATTGCTATAATGATCAAATCTAATTGATATAATGATTAAAACTAAGGGTAATAATACTCTGTCCGATTAAATTGTCATACCAATTCTACTTGTAATTTCCATCGCTAAAGATACCAAAAATAATGTAATTACCTAAATAGTTAATATGTTCTTTGGGCACTAAATATACCAACAAATATATTAGATTAAAATGAAACCTAGAAAGGAAACTATAACTTTCCAAATACTTAATTACCTTCTATTTTAAAATGGGTCTCATTATATTTGACACATATGTGATAGATAGTCACATAGACTAAGTAGTACATTTTTATTTATTGGCAGGACTTTTTGAAATTTATATTTTTTATTTTGAAATTCTATTAGGAAAATTAGTAGGTACCTCACACCCCCATTGCATTCATGTTGAGTTGTTGACAAATAAGACTTTTAAAATCCAAAAGCTCTTTTAAAAAATTAGTCAAATACCATTTTTAATAGTTTTTGAGTTCTAAAAGTCAAAAACAGCATTTAAAAAGTCAATCCAAACATACCCTTAGATTGGACTTTTGGCCCAAGAGGCTTTTTTATTCATTTTTTTCTTTTTTAATAAAAATGCTACGTGTTCACTAAATGATATTAGTACTAAGAAGTCCCAGGCTGGCTCTGTCTGTATGATTGACCACTGTACCTGGCTGCAATTTATGCCATGGTTCATAAAACATTAATGGTGCCCACAGATCATTTGATTAAGTGTACCACAGCCCCCTTTTAAGGTTGAAACCACTGCACTCTCTTCCCACTCAAACCTGCATGCTTGATTGCATGTATGAATGTATCAAGTTGGATGATCGATGTAATTACGTTATAAATGAATCGGCTTCAGTCCCTCATCAGATCTCTCATCTATTTGTTCAATTATCCCCCTCCCCTATATATATATATATATATATATATACACATACATATATATATAATGATCGACTTTTATACCTAGTCTAACGGAGAATGATAATAGAGAGACTTATATTCGTTCAATGCATTAGATAAAGTCTAAATTTTGACCTTATCTAATTCATCAAATAAATAATTATTAGACTAGCATTTTTTGGACTCTAAAGCTTTAAACGTCTTCGGAGATCGAATTAGATGGCTGGTCTTCCTGAACAGACAGGAGCAGAGCTAGGAATGTTTAATTGGGGGGTCAAAAAAAAATTAGAGGGGGGGTTTTATTTGGTAGGTAACGTCGACGAAGTTACTACGAATGTTATGAACTTAAAAATTGAGAATAATTGGAAGAAATGACCTTAAATCTTTGTGTATTGCTGCCTAAACAAATTGTTTGAGATTCACAAGCCTGCTTTAATACGCAATCCGATAAGTGTTTCGGCTTAAACCCACTTACAATAAGTCCCAGTGTGGATTTGCCAATAAAAATTTGGCTATATCCAAAATTTGTTCACGGTTTACCAAATTAATATTTATTGATTATCTGGCACGTGTAAAATGAATCAAGACCTTGAGCAAACACCTTCTCCTAACAAAATGAAGGTTATTATTATTTTTTGTTGTTGGTTATTGTGGTTAGTATTATAAATATATTGAAGTCCTGGGTAAGCCACTTCCATTTCTGAGCATTTCATTTAAAAATATTAATAAAAAAAAAGAAATTGATATAGTTAATAAAACAATAACATGCCTTGATATTTTACCTATTATGAAATTTAAATCCATATATATATAACTTCATGCTGCAACAACAACCAACAAAGAAAAAAAAAATTGATATAGTTAACAAAACAATAATATGCCTTGCCATCATACCTATTATAAAATTTGAATTCATATATATATATAACTTCATGCTGAAACAACGTACAACCAACAACAAAGAAGAATATATATATATTTCTTAAAGTTTTGATGAACAATTGAATAAATAAATAAATAAATGAAAAGATAAAAACCCTAGGAACAAAAGGCATGGGAAAGGAGAAGTGGGCAGCAAGAATATAGAAGTCATTGATTGCTTTGAGTGCTCTCATATTATGATTCATGACATATATCTTTGCAGTGTTACGTTCGTAAATATTCCACCATATCATTATGGTAGTGCTACTCCATTGCTTTGATTGATGCTCCAGCCAAAGAAAAATAAAAAAGTGAAAAATAAGGCAAGCTTTCCGTGAAAGGGAAGCCTTTTGTAATGAGTAAGGATAGGCTATCCTCGTCGGGCCGACAAATATGATATAACCTATACAGGACATTTTTACAAACAGCGGTACTCGTATTGTGCTGACACTTCTTAAATATTCGTTGAATGCGTGTTCGGTACTTCATATACATATTTATAAATAAAATAATTTTTTATTTATTATTTTGGACACTTAGTTTAAACACTTCGCCTACATTTTTCAGACATTAAGCCAATCATTTATGACGTTTCAAATACAAGTAGTAATTTAAAAAATAAGAGTAATGATACTCTGTTCAATCATGTAACAAAGCTAAGTCAATTGCACGCTATTCAATACTGCTCTCTTCGATTTTCTCTCTCCTTGATTTTCTCTCCCTGCCTCTTCGCTTTGCCTCTCTTTTCTCTCATTGATCTCTTCTGCTTCTTTAACATTAAAATTCCTTCTCCTGATGGTTTGTTTATATCCTCCTCTTTTGATCGATTTTTTCATCTCTCTCTCTCTCTCTCTTCGAATCTGGCTTTGTCTCTTGCAAGACTATGGTTGCTGTTTTGCAAGAGAGATCGAGCTAGAATCGAATAGAGAGAGAGAGATAAAGAAATTGATTAAAAAAGGAGGATATAAATGAACTGTTCAGAGAAGAAATTTTAATGTTATTCTTTTCCTTTAATTTTGCGCCGACATTTGCCTCATCAACATATCCGTTTCCGGTGTCCATGTCAATGCTACCTGGGATGTAATCTACTAACGAATTTTTGTAGTCTAAGTAAATTTATTATTTTCATTTTGGCTATCTTATGTGGGAACTCCTGCAATTGCAATTGAAGGTAATATTTCTCGATAGAGAAGGGAAACTAATATAAGATTAACCTATTGTTTGGCACGAGAGAAAGAAAGAAGAGGGAAAGTAATTTGTCATCATCGATATCATCATTGCCTTGTAAATCTATTACAATTCTCATAAGATTTTATTTTTGTAATCAATGGACCTCAATTTTATTTTGTCCAATGTATATTCAACTATTGTTTTACCACCCATTTCACTATTCTTTTGTTTAATTTATTAATCCTAAATATAGAAAATGGTTACTTTCGCTAATCAAATGGGAAGGATGAATGAGCCTTCACTCCAGATACAACAACATTCAAATAGCATTTATATCCTCGCTAAATTTTAATGGTTGCATGCAAGAGAGATCGAGCTAGAATCGAATAGAGAGAGAAATGAAGAAATCGATTAAAAAAGGAGGATATAAATGAACTATACGGAGAAGAAATTTTAATATTATGCTTTTCCTTTGATTTTGCGCTGAAATAGATACAAGAGGAAAGAATGGAAGAACGAAGAGATATAGATGAGAGAGGAGGGAGAGAAAGTATAAAATAACGTGGCAGTGATGTAGCTTTGCACACAAGAGTCGGACTAATAATTGGCCAAAATGATCGGACATAGCATCATTACTTTAAAAATAATAGGAACACAATCTAAAGGGATGATATATAAATCATTACAATAATGATATAATTTAGAATGACTTTTAGTATAGAAATTAAAAATAAATTAAAATTTTATAGTATTATTACCGAATAGATGTAAATAAATAAATAAATATTCACATCTATATATAATTATATTCACGCAATAGTCGTGTCTTACATTTTTTGAGAATTTGTAGTATCAACATATCCGTATTCGGTGTCCATGTCTATGCTACTTGGGATGTAATCTACTAATAGATTTTTGTAGTCGGAGTAAATTTATTATTTTCATTTTGGCTATCTTATGTGGGAATTCCTGCAATTGAAGGTGGTATTTCTAGATAGACAAGGGAAACTAATATAAGATTAACCTATTGTTTGGCAGAGAGAAGGAAGGAAGAGGGAAAGTAGTTTGTCATCATCGATATCATCATTGCCTTGTAAATCTATTACAAGTCTCATAAGATTTTATTTTTGTAATCAATGGACCTCAATTTTATTTTGTCCAATGTATTTCCATTCAACTAGTTGTATTACCATCTATTTCACTATTCTTTTGTTTTATTAATCCTAAATATAGAAAATTGTTACTTTCGCTAATCAAATGGGAAGGATGAATGAGCCTTTACTCCAGATCCGACAACATTCAAATGGCATTTATATCCTCACTAAATTGAGTTATGTTACATTATTTTTATTTTTATTTTATTACTTTTAATTTTTTTTTTTTTATAACGATAATTGTGTCGGGGCTTTTCAGAACACCTCATAATTTAATTTAGTAAAATGATTCTTGCACGGAATAGTTGCACTGAAATTTTAGTCATATTCTTTTAATTGGTTAATTATGTAATAAATAAGGAAGTGGAACCCTCCACTTACTTTTATTTGATATAAATACCAATTAAAAATTATTTAGTTATTCAATTCAGTGCAATTGTTTAATGCAAGAACGTGGTATTTCATGTGATCCAAAAATGAAAAACATAAATCTACTCAAACTTTCTTATCATCACTTTCTATTTTTAATTTGAGGAGTGTTATGGACTTGGGGCGGGCAGGTTTCCTTACACAATTGGGCTTTTTATTGGTTACAATTCCTAATTTATGAGATGTCTCCTGCCCTTATGAGAATCAAAAATATAAATTTTGGAGATAAAATTGCCCTTTAATCCTGTCTCATGCCCTGAGAATTAAAAATATAAAATTTTGAGACAAAATTGTCCTTTAACCCTTTCATCTCTCTCAATTGATTGCACACACATGCATATAGCATAATAATTTTTTTTTATTTTTTCCCTTCTACATGTATGTGTGTGTGTGTGTGTATATATATATATATTCTTTGATAGCTAATCAAACAAATCTTTTGCTAATCAAACAAATCTTTTGATTCTCTCAACTGTAAATCCATATTATAGGAAATAAAATAATTCATTCTTAATTGTTTTGGCAATCCAGAAAAAGGAAATAATATACTCTCTATGTTTTTTTTTTTTTGGCTATCTAAGAGATAAGAAAAGGTTAAAAGAATAATTTTGTCTTAAAAAATTATATTTTTAATTCCCATAAAGGTAGGAGGCATATTGATTTATTGGCAGTGAATTACCTAATTAAAAATTTCTTATTCCTTATTCATACACAATACAAATTGAAGAGGCCATTTTCTTATTTATTGTAAATATAAATTAATTAAAATAAATAAATTTAACAATTCACTGTAAGAACCATTTTTCTTATAAGAATTGAGACCAATAATGAGAGCGAATATGGAAGGAGCACTCCTCTTTAAATCTATAGTAGCTATAAATTAGCATCAAGTCAAAGAGGTTAACAAATCCCTAAGTACACTTTTTCCTTTAATTACTCTCTAAAAGGATAAACATATTACATATATAAACGACAAATGTTATTCTTATTCATGCCTATTATGAAGAGTACAAAAACAACCCCAATCATAGGATCAATCGGACATAACAACATTTTTCTATAGTTTTTATGCGTTTTTGGTTATTTCATTGCTGTCGGAGATCCAAACACACCCTTATTTCTTTCCTTCATACTACAAGAACAAGAAAGCAAGAAATAGAGAGAAAATAGAAACTTTTTCCAGGAAAATACTAGCAGGAAAGAAAAATTTGAAAAAGCATTTGACGGTTGTGTTTGGGTGGGTGAACTTCATTTACATTCTTCTCCTCCTCCCTCGTGAATTCCCACCTCTTATCCTCTCCCTCCCCTCATAAACATTTATCTCTCTAGGGTTTTCACTTGCTGATCTCTGAAAAAAGCTCAAATTTTTGAATCAATTTGCCGGAGTTATCCACAACCAATTTCGATTTTTCACCGATTATGATCGATCTAGGGTTTATTTATTCCGCATTTGATCGAATTCATTAGGTTTTATTTGTTGTGGATTTTGAAATTTGGGTTTAAATTGGTGGTGATTGGTGTTTGGGAATGAAGAGGCGATGAGGTGTAAAGAAGAGAAATGGAGGTTAGATCCGAGGTTGTACAGTCGAGGTATGATAAGTTTACGACGCCGGTGATACAGAGGACTCGCTTGCAGGTGTGGTTCATTCGAGTTTGTTCCAGCATTTTGCTATGGACCTGTTTGGTTCAGCTCGTGGCCGTCGGTGAGCTGTGGCATCCACGCTTGTTAACTGGGTTGTCTAACCGGTTCACCGGGATCACCAAGTTATCGGTCCATGTCGAAGAGGCCGTCCCGGCGCCTCCGCTTCTTCCAGCAAGTGAGTCCTTCTTGACTAGATATTATGCAAGTTTTTGAAAATGCATGGAAGTTTTATGCTTGGATGTGATGGTATAGTTTAAGAGTAGTTTACATGGATATATATAGTTTTAATAATATATTTTTGTCATTATGATGATATTTGCTGAGAACTTGGAACACAAATAAAGCATTTAAGAAGTAGGTAAATCATGCTATTATTAAGCTTAGCAATTTTGTTTTTAATTATGCATTCAAAAGTATATATAAAGTGCTCTTTATGTTTTAGTTAATGTTTCTCAGTTAGTAATTATGAGATCTTGGGTACCCTCATATGTATGACTATTATACAAATGTGAAAGAGTTGTGTTGATGTTTATTTTTTGTTGAGAAGTTGTTGCATGTACTAGCCTGCTACTACTAGTTTAATAATTGGATGAAAAATACAATAGAAAAATAAAATAGATTATGTCACCCAATATTGGTGTTTGATAACTAGAACCTTAGCAGGTTAAATTTCCAATCAGAAAAAACTGCTGAAGTACATTATTCCTCAAGTAGATGCATTGTAGTTGTGATTCTGTTATGTTATGGCTGAGGGAACTATGTTGTGTTAACGGCAGTGCTGCAGTGGTACTGTGCTAGCAATCAGTGTGTAGGTATACACTGGCTAATTAATATTTCGTATTTTTATTAAATTCATAATAACTAGTTAAATACCGAGAAATTGTTGGAATGTAAGAAATGGTTTAGGAAGTTGCCACATTACTTGCTGAACAACTTCTATGAGAAAATTAATGCATATACATAAAGGCAAAGATTTCTAATTAAAACACTATCTCCTCTGCAGCCAGTTGCCCTCCCCAGCCAGTTGCTGGGTTATTGGTAATTATGCCTCCTAGTTCTGTACCTCTTTGTGAATGATCTGCCTTATCTATTACTAACTCAACAATATGCAAGTTTTTTTTTTTTTTGATAAGTTAACAATATGCAAGTTTTTTCAGCTGGGAATTCAAAATAAGATATAGAAGTATACATTAATGCCAGATGTTGGCTTTATACTTTCTTGAAATCTCACACGACCCAAATGCCTGCTTAATATTCTGAAGGATAAGTTATACAATAGTATGGAATATGCTAATTTGTTTTTCCATAAATTTTTAGAACATTGCAATAATTGTATAGAATTGGTGTCTAGTTTCTGAGCTACCTCATGCATTTCATACTAATTATGATTAACTGAAAACTCAAGTACAGTGTTGAAACTCACTTGTTTTTTTTATTTATTTTTATTTTTTTAAATTTTATTTTATAAAATAACATATTTGGGCCACATAGGCAAAACAGGAAAACAGTACACAGCAAATACAGAACTTAGGTTTTTTGTTATATTTTGTTACAACTGGGATATAAAATTTTAATGAGAGATTGAACTTCTATCAGATAATAAGACAGCGACTCCCTGTGATCAATTGAATTTTTTTTTTTTTTTTATAATAATTATGTTCTTGCTAAAGAAAATTATTTGCTAGAATGGTTCCCTTTTAGGATGCTCTGGTAATATAAGTCTGTTATATTTTCATCTGCAGTTTGATGGGATTAATTGATTATGGTGCTCTGAATCATGATGAGAAAAGCGTTTAGGTTAAAATCATTGAATCTTCTTTACTCATTTGTTACTCTGACGTTCGATGTTTCTTTCTGATTTTCTTTTTGCTCTTGGTGACTAAGTCTTAACATGCAGTTCCTTAATGAGTGTACCACCTGCTTATAATCTTCAGAGTTTTTGCCTTCTTTATTCTGTTTTCTTTGCATTTTAAACAAAGCTTTCTGCTCTAAAATCAACATTTTGTTCAAACCATGAAACTTCTTGTGCAATTGTTGAAAGATATAAAAATTGAAGCGAGAACTTAAACATGAACAACACAAGGGTATGACGTGGTTCGGCCACTACAGCCTACATCCACAACGCACAAAGCCCCAAGGCTACATCACTTTCATTATATTCTCTCTTGATTTTGTTTACAATAACCACCTCTATTTATAGATGAATTGGGGAAGACTTGTAATAAAGGAATTAACAGAAAGTCAAATATAAATATGGCAACAGCTTGTTGTCCAAGTATAGCAACATTAACATTTTGTCAAGGAGTGATTTAAGGGCTTAAAATCACTCCTATAATTATTCTCCAACACCCCCCCTCAAGTTGGTACACGGAGATTTAACTCAAGCGTCCAACTTGAAATTAAGTATGTTGTTGAGAGTCTGAGATCAATAAATCTGAGATGAGTTGATCCGGAGATCCAAGACAAATTGACCCGAAGATCTGAGACGAGACGAGTTGATCCAGAGATCCGAGACGAGTAAAGTATAGAGTAGGGTATTACTTATTAAAAAAGAAAAAGAAAAAAAAAAGAGCAGGGTACGATAAACCTACTCTGATACCATGTTAAAGAAATTTAAAAGTTGAAGAGAGAAATTAAAACATGAAAAACATAGAATATAACGTGTTTCAGCCACTACGGCTTTACATCCACGACACAAAGAGCCCAGAGGGCTACATTTTCTTTCATTACATTCTCTCTTGATTTTGTTTACAATAACCACCTCTATTTATAGGTGAATTGGGGAAGACTTGTAATAAAGGAATTACACAGAAAGTCAAATATAAATATTCAGCTCTCTTTGTATCCCCATTCAGATAAAAATAATTGACTGCATACTTTGGATCATCAAGTCTCTTATAAAATTGTGTTTTGACCATCAAAATGGACATATGAGTTGGTCAACCATGTATACATCTGTTAATAGTTCATTCACAGTTCTGCTGTAGTGCTGTGTATAGATAAGTGTTTCATTTCATTATTCACGTGCAATGCTGCCTGCATTCATAATTATTCTTGTGATTAACGGTCAAAAAGAGAAAATGAAAATAATTGTTCACTCAGTGTTGTATAATAAATGAAGATGTAGGGAATATGTTTCTTTTGCAATTAGAATTTTAATATAGTTAATCTTGGAAGTACCTGTTCTATGTTGAGAGATATTTGGAAGCTTTTTTTTTTATTGCAAAATAAGACCATAATACCTAATATTCTGCAGGAAGCTACAAAAGTAACGGCTTTCTTAGAGTGACCTGCAATGGGGGTTTGAATCAAATGCGTGCTGCGGTTTGTACCTGTCGTTATGCTTTTGTTGATTGGTTCCGTTACATTTATCTCAACTAATTTAGCCAGATAATTTGGCATTCAGATCTGTGACATGGTGACTGTTGCTCGGCTTTTGAATCTTACTCTGGTTGTTCCAGAGCTTGATAAGACATCTTTCTGGGCTGATCCTAGGTATTTTATTGTTTGGAAAAGTTAAGACCTTTCATTTCCTTTTGCATGTTACAAAAAATTCAACTTCTGATTTGCTATTTGCAGCAACTTTGAGGACATTTTTGACGTGAGACACTTTATTGATTCACTAAGAGATGAAGTTCGAATTGTCAAAAGATTGCCAAAGAAGTTTACCAGGAGATATGAATACCGGCTACTAGAGATGCCTCCTGTTAGCTGGTCAAATGAGAAATACTACTTGCAACAGGTCCGTATACTTCCTATTTATTTGAGACTAAGAAAATAAAATCTTTATCATGGAAATCAGTGACTCTCAGATGACTATCCAGATGGTTATGCAAGCTAAAAAAAGCGTCTATTGATTCAAACACATTTGTATACTATTAACATGTCGTTATTGCTTGCTGTTCATGATCACATAGTTTCTAATTGAAAATGATGTAACCACCACCAAGTAGTTGGGACAAGGCTTAGTTCCCTATCTACCAGTCCTCGAATGGACAAGGCTTAGTTGAATTGTTGATTATTATTCTTGCCTATTTTACTATCTCCGTTCCTTTTTTATTTTTTATGTTTTAACAAGTATTCCTTTTTTATTTTTTAATTTGCCATTATGCTTATTGTAAGATTGCAAATGAAATGAAGCAATATTGGTTTGCTCAATCTTGGTTTGGTTTGAATGTCGATCAATGTTGTGTCCAACTCAAGCTTTACCACAGTCAACTTCCCTGTTACACTGGGTGCTTAAGTGTTTACTCCTGAGCCTACCTTAGCATGTTAAATACCCTCATTTACTTCTGTGTTGGAATCTAAAACTCCTACCTATCCCCTATCGTCGTCTAATTACTAGCTGCAAAGTTCCTTTTTTTTTTTTTTTTTCATTTTATATGTTTCTTTTTGTTATTTTCTTGTTGGGCTATGCTGCTTGCTCTAATTCTTCAGCTCCCCACTACTGTGGAGTGGACCATAACATCCTTACCAGCCACGAGTCAACCCATCTTCCTTTAGTCAGCTAGTAGATCGAGGATGCCATTCAGGCATTAATTGAGTCATAGTCCCTTCAATATTGGCTTATATCACTGCCTTGGTCTATACAGTCCTGCCTTCCTCTTGTCCATTAGAACGTTTCCAACTTGAATAAAATAACCAGTTTGTCTTTGTGCACTCATCAAGTCATGCTTTGCATGGCTGAACCATCTCAAATAACTCTCACCTGGTTTTTGACTGATACGAACTCCAGCTTCGTGCCAATGCATCCATTTCTTATTCTATATTTTTATCACAACCCATCTATCTTACCATCTTCATCCAACGGGCTTTCTTGAACATGTTTTAAGTGCACAATATTGAGGCCATGAAGGTTATGATTTCCTTGATCTCGATAAATTTTCTACATCACACGACACTGCAATGGAACTTTCTTTAATTCATCCTTGATTCCATCTTGCTCTGGTATACGGCATTGCCTTCCTCAAATGATTTATTTTTCCCCTATGGATAAGTGTATCTGCCTCGGCCTTGCTCAACCTTCATTTGGTAATATTTGAGTTGTGATTCTAAAGCTTAAGCTCAACTATTTAGTTGGTGAAAAAGCATGAATGAGCTTCTTGACAAGATTTATCTTGATGAGCCTCATCTTAAATGCCTTTCCATCACCTGGTTTTCAATCTCCGATGTGCCAATTTCTTATTCTATCTTTACTTGTATTGCAATATACATCTTAAAATCCCCATCTTGGCAGTTATTTTTTAACATGTTTATAATGCCAAACATTGGGTCCATAAAGCATAGGTTTCCCTAAATCAGCATGACACAGGAACTTTTCTACTCCATCCTAAGAAGCACGGACACAGATACGGGATATGGATACGACACGACACTGACATGGCGACACGGCAAATCCAAAAAAATTAGGACACGGACACGGCGGGGACACGGCGAATAGTGTGTATATATATATATATATATATATATATATATATATATATATGATGTAGTACTTTAAAAATTATTGAGTGTTACTATTTTTCATCAACCTCACAATGAAAAAAAAAACACAAATCATAACTGATAACTAATAAACTATAAAAGAACAATGTTGCGGAGTTATAACACCAAATAAAAAACAAGACATTAGAATAATAACTAGTATCATTTAATCATCATTGCAACTTTACTCCAAATACAAAAGCATAGACAGAAAGGACTATTAACATTCATGACTGTTTAACATTCAGGACTTTACTGTTAGCACCTAACATTCACAAAAACCTAAAGGCTAGTCCCCAAAAAAGATACAAAAACAAGTCAGTGTACTATCATCTATTCCCATCCATCATTTGACCTAGGACTTTTACCATTTACAATACCAAAAGGGTAGTACAAAAGAAAAAACAGAACATATCAGCATTCAAAAAAAAAAAAAAAAAAAATTCCAGAAGTGTCCGTGCCGTGTCCGTGCCCTTGTCCATGAATGAAAATTTAAAAAAAAAAAAAAATTCCAGACACATTTTTTGGCGTGTCCGACATGTGTCGGGGCGTGTCCGACACGTGTCTGTGTCCGACACGCGTCGGACATGGATTCTTCGCCCATTTTGGAGTGTCTGTGCTTCCTAGACTCCATCCATCCTGCTCTACTTTGAGGGGCAGCACCTTTTTTGTATTTATGATTTTCTCTCTTATCATTGAGAAGCCGACCTTGATTGTTCACAATTCTAATTGAGTCTAGCTAAGTATCTCTCAACCTTCATTTGGTAATGATTGATTTTTGATAGTCCGCTTGAGCATGATTTGCTTAGTCGTAAACGCTCTGTGTGTGTGTTTTCTTTTTTTTTAAAGTGCCTATGGTACCAAGCCATGGTGAAAGTTTATACTTTGTGATTTCACTTGTTCCTTTCTTGATTTCACAGTGAAGTATGGATCACAGTTGCTGGATGTGACAATGTCTTGTTGTAGATGGTGTCGTGAGATACAGAACCACAAAATTAGCAAGAAAAGAGTTGTTTTTTCGTTATGCATACCGTTTAAATGAAAAAAAAACAATTAAAGGCTAGAAAGGATTAAAAGGGAATGTTTTAGGAAATTTATAGAAACGAAAAGCTGCAACCATCCGCCTTTTCAATAACCTTTGATGTCTTGAAAGCAGCCTTCTTGATAGATTACCTGTTGATAAACCTTGAAGGTCACCAGCTAGGTGATTCTCCAGGGGCTTGACAAGCCTTTGCCAGTACTATCTCCGTGCCTTTAAAAGTAGAGACTGAGATTTTAGGTGGCACCAGGCTGCCAGCAGGGCATATATATAATTCATCGTTGGGGCCATGAAAAAACTGTTGCTAAGAATATTTCTACATTAATTGAATGCTTTGGACTGCAAAATGCAATCATACTTGTTTTTTCGTTTCCATAAATTAAAATGGCTGGGGCCGTGCCTCCTTACTAGTTTTTTGTTTTGTTTTGTTTTTTTTTTTTTTTTATGGGCTGCAGTGAGTATTCATTCCTGTCGTAGTTTGATGTATAATGCATGCATGATGCAATTAATGTGTGTGGAAGTTCTGAGCAATAGAGAGCAAGGATTGGTCAATTTAACCAATGGGGACTGTAGAAAAAAGATCACTACCTCTGCCCTTTATTTTCATTTTTCTTTCTTTTTGGAAACTGCCTGTCATTGTCAATCTTAGAGGGTTTAAATCTATCATTTACATAAGTAGAAGTAGTAAAAGTGGAATAGGTTGGACAAAATGGAGGCAGGCTTGTTGTGTTCTATGCAATAAACGAATATCAAATTAGTTAAAAGGAAACGTCTATTGGATGATTATTAGATCGGCTTTCTTATATGAAACAGAGTTTTGAGCGTTAAAATAGAAAAAAGAGCAACATATTAATGTCGTTAAAATGTGGATGTTGAGATGAATGCTAGGAGTAACTAGAAGAGATAAGGTCAATAATCAACGTGTAAGCGAGATGTTAGGAGTAATGCCTATTAGTAAGAAAGAAGATACAATAGACTTGGGTGACATGGATACATTCAGCGCAGATTGATAGATGCACCGGTGAGAAGAGGAAGATTGGTTTGTATAGAAGGTAAGAGACAAAGAGGTCGACCAAAACTAATATGGAATGAAATAATAAGATAAAAAGGAGAATTCATGTGGCTGACCCTGTCCATATAGGGTAACGGCATTGATATTGACGAGATGACTTGCACAAATTAGAAATTTTTTAATCATTGTAATAGGAAATATAACACAAAGTTTTGAGCGTAAAAGTTCCAAAATCTTCAAAGAATTGGGTAGTTTCAATATGTTGACAAGAATTTGAATCAATTCTGATAGATTTATTTTATTTATTTTCTTATTAATATCAATTGATAGATTTAAGCCCAGATTTGACCCAATGACAAATCAAGGCTGTAGTTAAGTATTTAAGAAGTCTGTTTTTTCTTTAGGTATAAATACGGCGATAAGGAATCATTTTACCCTGAAGTTGTAGTAGGGGAGATTTCTTTTTATTGCTTGAATGCTAAATTTTTAAAAATCTGTTCATGCAGTGTGAGTTCTGTGATTTGGTAGTATACTCCTGTCAAAGTACGGCTAGGGTTTATTCTATACTGAAGGAATGAGTTTTTCTATTCTCCCAGCAGTTTTTAATTATTATTATTAATCGGCAATAAGAATTAAACCCTTAACCTCACTAATTCCTCTTAGCTGCCATGGCGGCAGTTAACCAGTGTTCTACTACAATGGCTTTGACATCTATACTCTGCTCATTATTTAATTTTTATTTTTAAACTTCTGAACACCCTGAACTGATAATGGCTTTGATTCCATTATGCAGATTTTACCACTTTTCAGCAAGTACAAGGTCTTACACTTCAATAGAACAGATACACGTTTCGCAAACAATGGGATCCCTCTTGATCTTCAGAAACTCAGGTGCCGTGTTAATTTCCAGGCACTGAAATTCACTCCTCAGATTGAGGCTCTGGGATACAAATTGGTTCAAATTCTCCAAGGCAGAGGACCATTGGTGGCATTGCATCTAAGGTACGAGATGGACATGTTGGCTTTCTCAGGTTGTACCCATGGCTGCACTGAGGAAGAAGCGGAGGAGCTCAAAAAGTTGAGGTACTAGCATTTTTGAGGTTGATGTATTTTTTGGGGTCATTGTTAGGCCTGCTTCCAATCTTTCCCTCCTAGCACCCTGCATAGGCGGGACTAGTATTAGGCAATGCCCTTTCAAGGTTGAAACATTTCTTGTCAGTATGCTCATATCATTTATTCAGCTCAGATCATGGCCACTTTGGTTGCTTCCTCCATTTAAACTGTTTGCTAGGACATATTCATGTGTGTAATGGTAAAACAATGATCAAATGTAGTATATTTAGTCCTAAAGAAATTTTCAAAAGATTTATTTTTTATTTTTTAACACCTCACACCTTTGAACCGGACACCAAGTTTTCTGGGCGAACCCAGGATAAACGAGAAAAAGTTCTACCTAATTTATAGAACAAAAAACTTTCGTTGAGGGTGTCAAAGTGATATATTATTTTCTTGTCAAGGGCCTTGTAATATATGTCAATTTTTTTTTTTTTTCCTTTTACTGGCCGGCGCAGTTAAATATTTTTGAAAAAGCGTCTTTGTGGAAACATTATGAAACTATATGGCTGGTAAAAGGAAATTTTAGATCCTCAAGGGAACATCCCACCCGCACCGCAATAGCGACTTTCTTTTTCCTTGTAACTCCTTTACTTAACAGATCTGATAATCAAAGTAATGTGACATAAATTAAGACATTATATTATATAATATAGAATGTTTATTTATTGCTTCATTGTTCAGGTATGCATACCCTTGGTGGAGAGAAAAAGAGATAGTGTCTGAGGAGAGGAGATCACAAGGGTTATGTCCTCTAACTCCAGAGGAGGCAGCATTAGTTCTGCAAGCTCTGGGTTTCAACAAGGACACACAGATTTATATTGCATCTGGTGAGATTTATGGCAGTGAACGAAGACTTGCAGCGCTAAGAAGTGCATTTCCACGGATTGTGAGTTACTAATTCCCTGCAACTTGTCTTACCTTTTTAAATTCTGTAAATACGCCGTGGAACATTCAGGTTCACCCAAAACTTGGTGATCATATTAAGAAGAATATTTCAGTCAGGTTATGATGATGCCTCTCCATCCTACTTAGGTCCTTGGGGCACATGTAATGAAGGTTGAGAATGCTTTTTATGGCCACATTCAACTTCTTGCATTTTTTGTATGGTTGGAGAGTTAATCCGATGAATGTCTCACAGAAACCCATGTCATGGCTGGATTGACTCCTGAACTTGTTTTTTTGTTTTTTTCGGTTGGTTAAGCACGTTCGTCATGCATCATATTCTCTTTTAGTTGTTACTTTAGATCTCATAAAAATAATTGATTTCTTGTTTTTAATTGAGTTTGCATATGATTCTAAAAGACTTTAGCCCCAACTATAATCTCAGGTGAGAAAGGAAATGCTGCTAGATCAAGAGGATTTGCGGCAGTTCCAGAATCATTCCTCTCAAATGGCAGCCCTGGATTTTATGGTTTCAACTGCCAGTAACATTTTTGTTCCCACTTATGACGGGAACATGGCAAAACTAGTGGAAGGTCATCGCAGGTACATACCCAACCTCAGAAGGGGATATTCTGTTTCGTTCAAAACTAAAATTAGCCAGTTTTTTTTATGGATCTTGAAGATGAATTCCTGATTAGATCTCGTGCAGGTACCTTGGTTTTAGAAAAACAATCCGATTGGATCGGAAAAGGCTTGTAGAGTTGCTGGATTTGCACCAAAACAGGACACTCTCATGGGATGAGTTTTCAGCTGCTGTTCAGCTTGCCCACAAGGGTAGGATGGGACAGCCAAGTCGTCGTAAAGTTGTCATGGACAAGCCCAAGGAAGAAGACTATTTTTATGCGAATCCTCAAGAATGCCTCTGTGAGAGAACAGATTGTGATGACCTACTACACCCTACTAATTCAAGTCCAGTCCAGTGAAGAATGCGCCCATGTTGAGATATTGTGGTGAACAAGCTGCGGCACTTGATCATGGTTGTCTAGAATGACTGGCGACTGTATAGCACACGTAACAAGCTTTGGATTAGAGAGACACCTGAAAGAATATGTTGCATGGAGTTCCCATTTGGGGATCTAAGGATGTGTTTTCATGCCTGACGAGCATTGTAAGAAAACGGCAGAAAAGTAAATTCTTGGAAATTCCCTTCTTGGCATCTAATTTGTTCATTCCTTTTGTTTGTATTTCATTTCTTGGCCGCATGTGTGATCAGTACCGTTACATAATTCCACAGTTATCATTGATGATGTTGCAGCATTTGATTATCTTTAAAAGCTCTCCCATTTGCAATATACTGACTGCTCTCTCTCATTTTGTTTAGAGATGAGTATATTCTACATAAACAAATAGATAACTTTACTACACTTTTCAGAATCCAAAAGTCTGCTTGGTGATAACTAATCAGGATGCAGATGAATACAACATGCATCTGGTTAAACTAAAAACAAACAAGTGGTGTGTACTCTTATTATTCCAGCAAATGTTTTGAGCTCATTCAAGTATCATCCTTAAAATGCATCTGAGTAATTGAAGATCTGGAACAATAAATGCCTCGTTTCCTTTTCCTCAACAAATAGAACCTACAAGCAATTTAAGGTCACAGAATTCAAAAATCTTTTGGATAATGCAAGGGAATTATTGCTGGTCATGACACTCAACAGTTACTGGAAAAGTGTAGGTGCAGGTACAATTCCTGGAGCTAACAAGACTAGCAATGGAAAATCTTGGCAACAGAAAAGAAGCTGCGCGGATAGACTGTAATTTGAACCTACTTGTAACATGATTACTGCGTTTATCACATCAACTATCTTCTCCAAACCTTGTAGAATCACTGAAAAAATCATCTTCATTTTGCCAACAGCTGATGAAGTTGCCCTTAAACTTGGGTACATACTCGCAATTGCGTGTAAGACAATCACTAAATTCCTACTTGGGCTCCCAGAAGATTATATCACCTTGTTCCCCAACCAGACCAAGGTCCTTGAGCCGCCTTTCTTGATAATATTCCAACTCATCCAATTCCAACTCCCTCTCGTTGAAAATCTCATCAATTTGTTGCAACACCTTCTTCTCCCCAGCTCTTATCCCAACTGCAATTTCAAGTCTAGGATCAAGATTCCCTCCTTCCTTCAACTTCTCATCCTGAAATCCACATTTTCAATTAGTTACTAACAACTTAGAGCTATTGGATGTCAAAGTGGGAAAAAAAACATTATACAATAAAAGGTACGTATATAAATGGTACATTATACGGGATTCCACTCAAGTACTCAACCGATCTCATATCCAGCCTAAGTTGAGTCAATTGGATGATCATATCTATCAGTTTATCTGTATTCAGCGCTTCATCACTTTAACCTACTCAAATTGCTAACTAATTGTTGTGACATAACTTCATATCCTTGTGATAAGAAACATTGTGGATGAGGCCCCTTAATTGACGGATCAATACATGTATGCAGTATGCCTCATGCGTGACACGGATAACAAAAATTTAAGACATCATATTAGAAATAAGTCTTACAAGGTTTATATTTGACAGATAGAAATGTACCTCTTCTATGGTTGTATGATAAGCAGAAAGAGCAGATTTGCAGGCACTTCGTACCACTTTGCATATGAGCTCCTCATTGGCATGACTAACAGGTACTTCAAGGTGGCCCCAAACAACGTTTCTAAAAAGAGCTTCTAAGAGGAAAGCATCGGTTCCCCCAAGTGCTACCAGCCGCAGATACGGAAGCATTGCTCGAGGAAGTGGCTGGCCCAAAATTATGTCAAAGTATGCAGTTTCACCCAGACCATTTGACTCAGCTATGTCCAGTTTGTCACCGAAAAATGGGTCTAACTCGGATATATTTAGTGTGAGGGTATATGCGTTGCGATCTGACCTTGATTCTATGAATCCATAGTCCAGAGCCAACTCGGCATTGCTCTTATTCAAATCATATTGGATCAAAACCTGTAAGAAAATTCGTTCGCTCATCACATACAAGGTGTTTAAACAATCATTTTTCACCAATGTTCCAAAGACAAAGTCATGGTTAGGCAGTTTTCAATAAGCTCTTCAATAATTTCATCAGGAAAGGTTAGCATCCATGTCAAATAGGCAAGAAGCACATATATCAAAATTTATGGATATCAATGATTCACGAAATTTCCGCACCATAAATAGCTTTATTTGTAGTGCAGGTATGCATTTACTTTTTTGGTTCTATTACTAGATTCATAAAATAAGTAATATCAGAAAGGATATGTTACCTGCTCACCAGCCTTGACTGAAACTGGGCTCCGTAAAGAAAATAATAAATCCCTAGAGAAAAGACCTGCTCCTTTAATCTCCCAAGCATAATCTTCGGTTGTTATGCTCTGGCTATGGTTTATCTGACGTCAGGTTTGCAGAAAAGTAAAATTTCAAGTTGAAGGCAGTAAAACTCAGAATCACATGAAAATGCAACAACATTGCAATATTCTTTCTTCTTCTGATAGTAAACATATCCAGTATATGGAGGGCTAATTCTGAATAGTTACAACAGGTTTCAAGATCATAGACCGGTAACCCTATTGCCTAATTAAAAATCCGGGTGTTGGAGAACTGATGCCAGGCAAATCCAGAAGATCTATTTGTTACTTTGTAGAAAATTAAGAAATAGAAATTAAAAGGCATAGCATCAAAACTGATATTAATTTGACACTAAATCGTAATTTATGATATGTTTGCCAACATATTGTCAACTCAGTCACTGTGAGTTCAAAAACATACTGGCACTATAACTAGAGAACTCGAACCCTTTGTTATACATTTTTCATTACTTTAAAAACAAGTCAGAGTTAGTGCTGTTGAAAACCATCATGAAGAGAGAAAAAATGATCTTACCAAGTCTGCAAGAGGTATCAAAACAAGATTTTGACCACGAAGGCGAGAAAATGCCCTTGACCTCAGTATCCCAAATGCCCAGAGGAAGTCCTCCAATGTTATAGGAAAAGGGAAAAGCTGCTTATTTGGGAGTATGACTTCCTCTTCCACTTTCTGAAATTCACTCTGTACATATTCTATCACACCCAATGTTGTGCTCAATAGTTGGGTTCCTGCATAAGCTCAATTCAATGAAAATTTCATCTAGGGCGGTGAGTAAATAGGCAACAAAAAGTCTAAGTATATAAACCGCCAAAAACTATGCTTCTCTTGTGGCCTCTTCATTGTATTTTGAATTCCCCAAGGGTACACCAGAAATTCAGCAAGATGCTTTTTTCTAATCAGCCCAAAAGAAAGTTCACATAAAGCATTTCTTGTTACAGCATATTATTGTAGAATACTTTTGCTTTATATTGATATTGCACAACTTCTTTACTTTGGAGCGGATCGCTGATGGGTTACAATGTCACTTTTAAAAGAACACCTGGTAAGATGAACAAATTTAACCCTAATATAAATTATAAGAGAGCTTCTAGCGGCAATCATGATTCTCTCGAGCACTTTTCAAATAACAGAGTTTGAGATTATGAAAATATGAGCACCTAATGCAAAAAAGTCTCCACCCCAACTAGATAATGTAGTATATAGTTAACGATAATGCTAAAGACATAATGTAAAATAATTTCCATGAACAATTGAATGCATTTACATCATACCACTAAACACCAGCACCAGATTTATACAAATCAATGCCCGTCCAATGAGCCAATCAAAGTAGCTCATACAGAAAAAGACCAAGACTAATTCCATTTATTGAATTTCAATTTCAAAACTTTTTTACACCGAAGTTCATATAATGCCACATCAACAACAAATGAAAAAAGAATATATGGTATGAAACAAGTTCCTCAAAAATTCTACTCAATTTTCAAAAGGACAACCCTTAAGCGAGGAAGAACTCTAACCTTGAATCTCGGAAAGTTCCTCTTCTGACCTGCACTGGAAGAGCATCAAATAACACTTATCAACACCAAAATTCAATGGCCATAGAAAACAGAAAATACCAACAAACGAATGAACAATAAACATGCAAATTTGAAAACATAAATTCAGATATTAAAAAAGGAATCACAAGAGTAAAAACCAAACTAAGCAATGCACGTCAGTATATAACAGAATTTGCCAACAACAGGGAGGTAAATCCATTAAAAACTATAAAAATTCACAAGAATCTGTAGCATAATATGAGAATAAACTTAATACAAACACGAAAGATACATTTGAATCACTATAACATAAACCCCCAAACAATCAAGTCATACCCACCAATATATAAAAGAATTTGCCAACAACAGATTGATAAACCCATTATAGACTATAAGAACTCAAAAAAAGAAAAAGAAAAAAAAAAGCATAATATGAGAATTAACTTCATAAAACACGAGGAAGACACATTTGAATCAATAAAACATGAACCCAACAACCAAATCAAGTCAAACCCACCAATATATGGTTGAATCCGTGTGCTCTGGGAGAATGTCAATGTAATTTCGCCACTGCGAGTTGTTTATCGACTTCTCTCTGATGAGAAATAGAGCAACAGAGATCCAAGGTTTCAACCCACCACACACTTTCCCAATCTCTGAAGCTGAGACTGTATCTGGGTTTATCCAGAACCTCTTGGGTATCTCCAAAACGACCTCATTTCGAGCTATATCTCTCTGAGCAACTAGTCCCAGACCTTCCGGGACTGTACCGGGCTTCGCCGGAGACTTGGCAGATACAACTCCTTCGTCACGAAGCCACTGCCAGAAAATCTGGACCGCCGGGGGAGGTGGGTCAGATTCAGGTGGAAGAATTGAATTGACAGAGAGTGGTCTTTTGAAATGGAGGGTTGTTTTGGGTTTTAAGGAAGAGAAGTGTTTTATGGTTTTTACAGGGGATAGAAAAGCAGAGGTTGAGGTTGAAGATGAAGAGAGGGTGAAGAGACTCGCCATTCTCTCTCTTCTTTCTCACTCTAGAAGTTGAGATTTGTACCGTTAATTTATAGCTTATGGTTAAGGATAGGCTTTGTTGATTTAAGAGGTAAAATATACGGCGGATTGGGCAACCTATACTGGCTTGGCCCAGACTACAATAAATCTGATTGGGCTTCCTGGGCCGTGTAAACTTAAGTTTGTAACCCGAGTTTCTAACACACAAAAACCACGGTTGCAAATGAGTTTAAAGATTCTAAGGTTGATTTGGCCGAGTGGAACGGTTGGATTTGAGGAGAATCTCTTAGGTGTTTCACTGTTTATGAATTTATTTTATTTTATTATTTTTTCATAATTAGTATTCACACACACGTATCTCTATTGAGACTTGAACCCCTAACCTTCATTTGGGAGGTAAGAGACTGATACTGCTAGACCACTGACCCGTTAATCTGTTTATGAATTTAGTTTTTTTAGTTGTTGTGAAAGATTTTTTTGGAGTCTGAAAATTATGGTTTCATACATAGTGTATACATTAAAATATAATATATAATGTTAGCTGCTTAAAGATATGTCCGTCCTCCCCTGTATATTCTTGGCCAAAGGGCCTAAAGTCACCAGAGGATCAAATGGTCGGAAGCGGTAAGCTGATTGGTTCACCGCTTTAGGTATCAGCACTATGGCTTTCAAAGTGGTCCTATTCTGTGTCCTGTGCTAGGAAGCATGGGACAGGGATAGAGGAAGAGGAAAAACACATAATAATAATAATAATAATAATAATAATAATAATAATAATAATAATAACTGAATTGTACATTATGTATAGTGTATACGTATCTTTTCTTCTGAAAATATTTTAAACTTGACCTATTAAATCATTTGAAAAAGATCAAGCAAACTCAATATAAAAATTAAGCATCATACTTAAAATGTTTACGTCCATCTAACTATATAAGTGTTCGATTAATTAAGGTTTGCTTAAGTTCGATAGATGTCATCGGTAAAGTCTGCTTGATCACTTGAGTCTTGGCACGAGGTCTTGGAAGCTTGGTTTTCCTTTTCACATTCCGACGCCTAATGTGCTCGAGCTCTTAGGCAAAGGCTCAAGCACCCTGAGGTTGGGCTCGAGCTTTCAGGTAGAGAGCTCGAGCTTTGCTACCTTAGTGAATTTCTTTATTCTTTCTGTTGTGCTTGAGCCATGGAACTGTGGAATGACTCTGTAAGCTTCGATATTAGAAGGATTTAGGTGTACGTGATAGGTCACCGCATATTAGGACCAACATAATTTTCGTTATTCTCATAAAGGAGAAAAACGAAGAGGAAGAGCCCGAAGAGGATCTTAATGGAGGAGATTTTAGCGTATCAAAAAAGAAAAGAAAAAAGAGGGTACTAAATCTTGAATATGAATGATCGCGCAATGTTGATCTTATTTGCTAGTAGTATAGCAAATGATACTAGTAGGATTGGTGTTGATCAATCTGTATATAGTTAAACTTTCTTATTGTTTTTAGAAGAGATATATAAGAAATACTCTTCAAGAGTTTGGGGATTTAATGGAGTTCTTATCAGAACGAAACATATGTTTTTATATCATATTCAGAAGAGCATTGGTATTATATTGTGACGTTCTAATTTGCTTTATAAAGTCAAGTTAGGTAGTTTACATTTCTCGTATAAGAAGGCTGAGGGTTAAGCCCTTGGCATTTGCTTAGACAAATAAATGTTGTTTTTAAGCTATATTTTAAAAGTTATGTTTCGAGGTTAGAGGATTACCTATGAAACTATAAAAGGAAATTGTGTGAAACAATTTTGTAAGTTTGATTTCAGAGGAGATTTCGCCTAAAATGAATGATGTCTTAAGTTGGAGAATATTTTGTGGTATTGTTTTTGCTATACGTTTTTTAGTTTCATTAACTATTCAGGATTTTGGTATGTGGTTTAGTTGAGGACACAGGTATGTGATCAGCCAACTACTGTGTCTATACCATGGAGTAATAACGTTATTTATGCTAAGATTATGAGCATGTGGTCATAGGATTTGGTAGATATACATAATTCTAGCTAATCTATTGGACATGGACATGTGTCATTATGGTATGTTATTTGGGATGGGATAGTTAAACCACCACTACGAGTTAAATAATCTAGTACGATTAGTTTGATATACTTTACGCTAGGTCTAGATACGTATTAGATTTCAATGCCATGATAATGGTGGTTGTTAATGTTTCAGTATTCGTGAGGTTGTGGTAAATAAAGATTACTGTAACACAACAATGGTTTATCAGAGGTGTCGGAATTTGCAGAACATCTTTTTGAAAAATTCCAGAAATTGTTACCAAGTCGGAAGGAGGATTTAGTATTGGTTTAAGTACTTAATAGAATGACGCTGAGTAAGGACAGTATACTGAAAAAAATCTTCATCAGTCTATTCTTAATCAAGAATCTATTCACGAGGGTATGTCATTAGGATGAGTTGCCGGTGTTGCACATGGAAAAGGAAACTAAGTCTTATTTACTTGCATAAATAATATGGATTTTTTTTTTTTTAAGGTCACAATTCGCAATAAATAGTTGTTATTAGGAAATTGATGACTTATTTGGAGGATGGAGAAATTCCATATTCTTTTAGGAAGTTAGACAAGAAATCTGATTGACACTTACTTTCGTTAAAGAAGCAGGGCGTGTCAAAGACATGAACGTGAGACCGAACACTTATATAAAGAAGAAGTGTATGGTGTGTGTGAAAAACTTATAGCTAGTTGACTTTTGATGGATAAAAATTACCAATTGACTTTCAATATTGGTAAGTTTATTATAGATCAACGGTGCATGGATTTAGTTGCAGAGTAAGCTTTTGAAGATGCTCCAATTTCAATAATGGGTTTTAGACGAAATCTGGTGGTACCAGACTAACGGTACTTTCTGTGGATAAATTGGATGGAGGATGCAAGGACTGAGATTCACAACTCTTAGTTCTTTATTCATCCAGGTGGAGATACGCTGCTTTATGATATTAAGAAGAAGGTTGGGGGATAAACACAAAAAGGGATATAACTGTTTCTGTCTCCAAGTTTAATATTTACCAGATAGTTAAGATTGATCATCAGAGATCATTAGATCCTTTGTAGCCATTTCCTATACTGAAGTGGAAATGAGAGAACATTTTTCATGGATTTAGTTGAGGGATAGCTAATTTTACACAAGGGTCAGGATTCTGGTTGGAATATTGGTTGACTAATAAATTATGTCAGCTTAATTCTTGTTTATTTTGAATTGGTAGGACACCAGTTCATACTAATAGAATGGATCACGAGACGAATTAGATGGATAGAAGTGGTGATTCACGCTTTGCATCAAGTTCCGTCTGGTGGAAGCAAATATGAAAGTGGATGCTCTCAACAACCGATATGGTATTAAATCTTTTTGTTAGTTATTGAGTTATCTGTTGAATTTATAGCATGTGTAATAACGACACTTGCTATTACCAAGGTAATTAAGGAGGTCAACTTAGAATATCGGAGCTGACCCTGGAGGAGGTGTTACTTTACTCAGATAGAGCTTAAGGTACTGGAGGAGGATTAATAGGTTCTGTGACGGCCCTAGTTTTTCAAGCCAGTGCGTCCTGTGATGAACAGAAGATTGACCAGATAGCGGATTCAGATGCGGAAGCAAGAAACAAAACAACGGTCTCCCAAGGCACAACACACCTCTAAGACACTTTGATGACCTTTTATGAGGTCATGGAACTTAAAAGAATCAAATGCGGAAGCTAAGATAAAAAAAAAATAACAATTAAGCCTCCAAGGGCAAAATAGTCATTTTTGAAATTATGGATTTGGGTGTCACTGAGTACATCGCTGGAAAGACAACAAAAAACTAATCAAGATGGACTCAAGAATCGCATGATTCGGAGTCCGGACGAAGGAGAAACGGCAAGATGAAGAAAAACAAGCACCTAAGGCTAAAAAGGTAAACTGGTAATTATCCAGAAAGATCTGGATGCAACCGAGCACACCGTTGGAAAGACAGCAAAAAATTAGTCAAGTTAAAAAAAAGTTTGCTTGATTTGGAGTCCGGACGAGGGAGAAACAAGGGTTTGAAGTTGAGACATCGCGGCGGCCTGATGAAGCCATAGCAGCCCAATGCGTGCGCCCACTGGCGCCCCATGTGGCGCCCAATGGCATGTATATGCTGACAGCAAGGGTCCAAAGCAGATTTTCCAGAACTGAGGCTTGAAACGGAGGCCAAAACGAATTTTTCTGGAAAAATACAAAGAAGAAACCCCCCCTAAAATCGAGTTTTCTACCTGACTATATAGAAGGAAACAAAAAAACACGCTAAGAAATCCCCAAAATGCCCCTAGATTAGAAGAGGTCAAGAGGGCAAACAGCTACTATAGTAACTGTCCTGATCTGATAGCAGAAACGGGCTATCAAGCGAATTTTTCTGAAAAAATACAAAAAATAAACTCCTCCCGAAATCAAATTTTCTACCCGGCAACGCGAGAGAAAATGAAAAAAAAAAAATACTGTGAAATGGCCAAAATGCCTCTAGATCAGTAGAGGCTTAAAAACTCAAAAGTAAATCCATAGAGTACTCATTTTGTGAAATATGACTCTAAACTTGAAAACGATCATGCTCGCAAACATAACTTATCTAATAGGATGTGCTACAATGGTCCACGGCTTAAAAATACTGCCGATGCAAAATTCGACCCCTCGACGGCCAAAAAGGCGAAAATGAACGAGAAATGAGAAATTTGAAAACCAAAATTAACAAATGATTTCAAATTATCGTTTGGTCCTTGGCCACACTTCATACATGATTAATGAGACCCTATGAAAGAATAAAAATAGAATTCCCATACCCGATGCAAACATAGTGAAGTAAAGACTTGTCATTTTTTAATATTTTCATAACAATTCATGAAGTTGAAAGTTACATAGGATACAAACTAGATACCATTGGCTTATGGCCTTATCTTATACATGTCAAATACATTATAAAGAGTGTACTCATGTACACATTACATGTATGGAATCAAAAAATACAAGTTTTGACGTATAAGGCTAC